CTCTGAAAGAGCAGCCAGTGCTCTTAACTGCTGAGCCATCTCTCTAGCCCCCCTTCTCTCTTTTCTTAAAGTTTATTTTTAGATGGGGTCTCACTCTACAGCTGAAGATGACCTTAAGCTTCTGATCCTCCTGCTTCTCTCTCTCAAGCTCTGGGATATCAAATGTGCTCCACTGAACCTGCAGAGATGGCTCAGGGGTTAAGAATGTTGCTCTTACAGAGCACCTAGGTGTGGTTCCCAGATCCCACGTAGTGATTCACAACTGCTTGTAACTCCAGTTCCAATGGATCTGATGCCCTCTCTGGCCTATTGGGCTCCTGCATACATCTTGTACACAGAAACTCATGCAAACACACACACATACACATAACCATAACAAATAATTAGAATTTAAAGATAAAAAAAACACAAAACAAAGCCAGGCAGAGTGGTACAAGCCTTTAATCCCAGCACTCAGGAGGCAGAGTCAGGCAGATCTCTGTGAGTTTGAGGTCAGTCTGGTCTACATAGAGTGTTCCAGAACAACCAGCTGGGGATAACGTGTGATAACTCCTAATCATCATGCTTCTACTTCCCGTGTGTGATTCTGGGTTCACACTACCATGACTGGCCATGAGTGCGTTTCTGAGGGATTCAGATAAACTGTTGGCTTTTAGACTGGAGTTCATCTTAGCAGCAGAGATTCATTCTGACTCAGCATGCTCCAGACCCTCATGACCCACCTAAAACTAAACAAAAGGGGGACTTGTCATGCAGGCATTTGGTCTGACTGTGAATGGGATGACATGGCACCTCGTATCCCGAGGCTTGCTTATCACTTGAGGCTTTTATGTGTATGGATGTTTTGCCTGCATGTATGTCTGTGTACCACTGTGTATCTATCTGGTGCCTGTGCAGGTGAGAAGGCATTCCAACTCCCTGAAACTGGAGTAAGACCTCTGTGCTCTGAGCCACCAGTGGGTGCTGGGACTTGAACCTGGGTCCTCTGTGAGAGCAGCCAGTGCTCGTAACCGCTGAGCCATGTCTCCAGCCCCACATATCACAATTTTAAGTTTTTCTCCACACCAGAAGTACTCAAGGCTGCTCCTTTCTTGGCACCTGATTCAGCTGGCACCATGCTGTTTAGTTCACACTTCTAGGCAGGTCTCCTGTGCTCCGGTCGGAGGGTCTCCCTAGAAGAGACTGCTGGTAGTAAAATTGCGTATTCTCACCTCTACCTCTCAAGTTGAAGATCCACTATTCCCAACTTCTCCCTCCTCAGGAGAATCCTCTAAGACCATTCTGTCTGATGCCCTGCTACACTGCAGAGTCCCAGGCAGACACCACTGGCCTCTCTTCCCTCACCCCTTTCCCATCTGATTTGACATCTGCTATGGTTTACAAGTGGCACATCCCCACAAGGATTCATGGGTCAGAAGCTTAGTCCCCAGTATGCTGATGTGGGAGGTGACAGAACCTGCAAGAGATTGGGCCTGGTGGGAGGTGTGTGGGCCACTGGGGAGCCTGTCCTCCGAAGGGAACAGCAAGTTTTCCAAACAGTGTATTGCCATACAGCCCTGAGCTTGGCCTGAATTCCTTCCCTGTTTCTGGCCATGTGATCTCTTCCCTTTCACAGAATTTGTGCCACTGCAATGCCATCAGAGAGGAGTTCCCACCAGAGCCACACTGAGGCTGGCACCATGTCCTTGAGCCTCCCAAACTATGACTATGTAAACTTTTTATTTTCTTGCGGTGTTGAGGAGAACACCTAGGGACTTGTGTACACTAAGCAAGCAATCCACCAACTGAGTGACTTCCCCAAACCAAGTGTACTTTGTTACAGAAATGAAGAACGGAGGAATAATACATCTGTATGACCTGAGAAACTGTCCCAGGCTAGGCATGGTGGTGCACACCTTTGATCCCTGAACCCTGAAGGTGGAAAACAAGGATCTCTGTAAGTTGGAGGCTGGATTGGTCGTCACAGTGAATTCCAGGATAGCAAATCCTACATAGTGAGACATGTTTCAAAAAAAATAAAAGAAATTCTTTTGACCATTTAAACCTGTTTCCCAAGACACCTTTTTATCATTTTTGTTTTTTTGAGACAGGGTCTCAACCTTGAAATCACTATGTAGCTGAGGATGACCTTGAACTCCTCAAGCCAACACATCCCAAATGCTGAGATTGTAGGTGTTCGCCACCAGGTCTGGAGTATGCAGTGCTGGGGATCAAAGTCAGGGCTTTCTACATGCTAGGTAACTACTGTACTGACCGGCTGTATCCCCAGCCTGTGAGTGTTTATTTCTAAGAAGGCCAGTCACTGCTCTGTGACTGAGCATGAGGGAGCCTAGAGCTCTGGTAATGGAAGGGATTTGCTTCACCTAGGAGTGGTGAAGGACTTCTTACACTACCTGGCTTGACTTAGAACCAGTACTTCGGGTTCTTGGTGGCTCTTGGATGGGGCTAATCCTCTCAGCTCAGAGTGGGGTATCTCACACTTGGACTCTGGTTGGGCAGGCACTGATTTGACAGGAGTTACTGGCTGCTGCCAGGTTCTGGAGAGGCGTCTGGAAGCCCCAGGGATCTCCACTGCCCTTTGCCATCTGTGGCCAATGGGCTAGGTTTGAGGAGATGAGAAGGGACAGGTGGCCCGGCTGGCACATTATCCAGACATCTCCTGGGACTGGTCAGAACCATGTCTGAGCTGACTGATTGTAGCTGTGGAGAGGCACCTCTCCCAGCACTGTAGTACACCCAGGCAGAGCCAAGTTCAGATCTTGCCAAGGTAGTAGAAACTTCAGCCACAAGCAGCCCTGAGTGGCTTTTCATTCTGGTCCAAGCCCCAGCTGTAGTTTCTTTGTTAGCGTCCAGGAGGCTTAAACTTTGGGGTTTGCTGTCTTCTGGAGGTCTGGTTTGGCACATAGTAGGCACTTAGCAGATATTCATTGAATGAACAATGGACTGGATGAAAACCATCCTTCAATAAAGTCACCTCATACTCCTGACTCTAGATAGAAGAGAAAGATGGAATTCTAGAAAGGTTGATAAAAGGAAATATGAGGGCAGGGAATGTTGCTCAGTTGGCAGAGCACCTGCCTGCCATGCACAAGGCACTGGATTTGATCCCCAGCACATAATACCAGGCATAGTGTCACATACCTATAGTTCCCGCACTTGGGAA